TGGACTTCTTCCCATGACTTGAATAGTCCACCTTATTTGGCTCTTTTCTTCTGTTCTTTTTTGGCTTCCTAGATTTTTTGATGTATACGGGTGGTCTAAGTAGGTTGAGACTCGGACCAGTTCATGCGTCCGGACCCGTGATGGGGAAAATTGAAGGCGTATATGTAATCAAGTAAGTATCCTTTTTGTAGATGGCATGTAAATAATCAATTACACTAAGACCTCTAGATACCACCGAGACAATCACATGGCAACGAGGGATTCCTGATAACTGCCAAGCACGACATGCTCAAGTCCTTGCCCTGAGGTCAAGACATGTAGTACAATGCCTGCATTATGCTGAATTTGGAACTTCTCATTCCCCACATATTCAGCCCACTCAAACCTTCACAGTTTATTGTGCTTATCGAAAATCTTTTGGATTCTAGGGCTACTGTTGATGTCCATCTATTAGCTGACTCTCCATGGGCTACAATTTTCTTCATGAAATACAACATAATCTCCTCACGCATGGTTAGAATGTACTTTTCTCTTACACTGACAATTGTGCTATTGAACGATTCACACAAATTATTCAAAAGAATGTCACACTGAGTCCACCCTCTAAAGTAGGATTTGCTCAAATGGAATGCTGGTTTTAGTTTAAGCCAACCATATGCAGCCGGGTCCAAGACCAACATATTTTTCAAGTGTTCAAGCTACTGTGGCACAATAGTAGCTTCGTCTGCATCCCAAAGACCATGCTTTAAAGCCAATCCCTTATGCTAGACACTTAAATTGTGGTATAGATATCTAACTCATGTGTTGTGCTCCGAACCCTCAAACAAAGATGCAATCGCATTAATCAACCCCTTTTGCTTATCTAAAATGAATGTCCAGTGCAAGCTATTGTATATATGCAAATCATCCTTCAACAACTCCAAAAATCATCTCTAATTATCTCCATTCTCAACCTCAACAATTGCCTACGCTACTGGATACATACCATTATTAGCATCCATACCAATTGTAGATAACAACTGCCCACCGTGTTCTGTATTCAGAAAACAACCATCTAGATCAATCACTCTTCTACACCCCATAATGAAACCCTCATTTAGAGCTCCAAGGCAAATATACAACAATCCGAATTCTCCAGCATAACCCTCGACCAAAGGAGAGGTCCCACTATTTGTCTACTTTAACTCCTCGCAATAATCCTATAGTACTTTTTAATGGTCTACCACAGTCCCCCTAATCTTTTTAAGTGCTTTCTCCTTTGTTCTATACATTTGCCAATGTGAGATATCACCCAAACCATCTATTTTCACCATCTTCATGAATGTGACCACCGACATATTTAGTTCAGACCTCGAGTCTGATAAATATCTATCTGCTAAATAAGTGGAGCTTACTCTAAAATTTTTATACACCATAGGGCACATATGCTCTCCCACATATGTCTTAATCTCCCGACTTGTCTTGTTATGCTCACTGGTAACATACAACACCCAAGGACACTCTTTCTTGCACTTGACTCTCAATCTCAAAGCATCATCATTCTTGTATTTACAGCATGTCTGGGAGCAAGATTTCAACCCAAAAATTTGATTTTTGAACCGTTGAAGAGGAAGAGTAGCAGCCATTGTTGACTGGCTGTGTCACAGGTGGGGCCCATACTTTGAAAAAAGGGTCATATTTCTGATGAAAATCCGATGGAAAGCCCCTCCAGACACAGCCTTAATCTCTCTATAACTTCTAACTGTATGTGAAGTGATGGCAGCCTTCAACAAAGACTTGGACTCAAATACCAGCCCCAACAATTAGAAAATAGGATCATATCAGTCATCCATAGAATAAAGGTTAAAAGTAGGGTAAAGAATGTGTTGAAGTTACCTCGTCTGAACTTTGGATTCTCCATATCAATCCTTGAATCAAAAGCATCCGTTGAAGCCCTTCTTCTTGAAGTTGTATGGTCCTCATTTGTACTATCAATGCTTAGTAACTCGTCGAAGTCCCCATAGTCGATACTCGAATCCCTAACCTGATGCTCATCTGCCAATCCGAATCCAAAATCAAAATTAACCTTTTGATTCTTCGTTTCAACATTAGTCATTGGCCGATCCTTCATCTCGTAATCAGATTCCACCAAACCTTCAAACTCATCTCCCCTACCTTGTTCGTCGTTATAAGCTTCAACCCCGACTTCATCATCTTCAACACCCATATCACCCATATTTTGATCTTCTTCATAATGGTATTGGAGGGTTTCCTCATAATGTGACCACAACTCTTCAGCATTCTCATGAAAAAAAATATTTGACCAATTAATTTCAGGCTCTACACCTTCGTTCTCTTCCATAGAAGGTACGTTACAACCTTCAAATATTTGTTGTTCATCGCATTGCGTATCAACTTCTAAGATTGATGATTGCAATGAAAATGCATGCAATTGCAATAGGGGTACAACATATATGTGCACTATTGGATATTTATCTCTATCCCTAAGCATTTCTTTAATATCCTCCTCTCTTTCCAATCTAGTCAACCCCTTCCCTAAACTCATTTTTCGTTTTTTGTTGTAAAACTCCAACGTCAAATCATTACCAACTGCATTTAAGAACTTCATCAAATTACCTTTTGAAAACAATGAGGCATGGAAGAATCGAAAAAAAGTACAAATCCATGTTCGTATGCCAGATTGTTTAGCTTAGCATAGAAGTGGCCTCCGTGATATAATTCAATAGTGAAGTAGTCTAAATTTGCACCTGCATGCAAAAGAATATGAAGATGAGGGAATGAACAGTGAAATGTGGTATGGAAATAAAGAAATGCACACCGATCAAATCAGGGCAATAATGGACTGCACATCATGTAATGCATAAAACCCAACCAAAACCACAAAAATTTCAACTCCCAACCAATACCATGTAATTTTAGATGAATACCTACAAATCCCCCAAAATTTTCCTCACGGTGTTGAAGGTCTTTTCCCATTTCAATAAAGTTCCAATCTTTAATTCTACAAAGCGACAAAATTAATGAAGGGAAAACAATGATCATGAATGGATAGTGTTCATACCGTATGTGGGTGTCTCGTCATCGAGCTCTTTAATAAATGGATGCAACATTTTGATTCGACACAAAATCCTGTGAAAAACAACAATATATTCCATAAAAAATAGCAAGGAAGCCTCGATCACTCAAAATTTGAAATTTCGAACTATAAAATAAAAAATAACAGACCTACAATGAAATATTAACTTTTCTTAGTTCGCCATCCACTGTGTGCAGAGAATAGCCTACTTAGAAATTTTAGATGATAGGAGAAGAGGATGAAGAAAATGGCTGCGCGAGATGTGAAGAGTAGAGAAGATAGAAGATGAACCGTTCATGTCATGAGGAAGGAGAAGTTTTTGAAGTGGTCTGACCATTTTACCCTTCGAGCTTCAAATTAAAAGTGAGTATATGTGTGCATTTAACAGTAAAACTCACAATAGATGGACAGACTGACCTTTTTCACAATGAAACATTGAAATAAGGGTGAAAATGTAAAAAATTAAAACGTATGAATGTTTTGCATACTAAAGGTTAAATATATGAACGTTTTGTGCTGATAAACCTTTAAAAAATCAGATATTAATTATATTTTATTTATGATATATTTTATTTAAAAAGATATTCTATTAATTAAATATATCATTGTCACAATTACGTTTTTATAGATCACAACTTATTTCTTGATCACATATTATCAAATTAATTGATTACAAATTATTTTTCGATTACAAATCAAAAGTTTGAAATGTCACAATGTATTTATCGATTACAAATCACAAATTTTATACGTCACAACTTATTTCATGATCATAAATTATCAAATTATTTAGTCATAATTTACCAAATTTTTGAGTCACGATTATAAATTTAGTCACAATCATACATTCTTCTAAGTCGCACATTATAAATTGGTCATTGATTAACAATTTATTGGTCACAACACTCAAATAATTAATCACAAATACTCCAACCACCCACCACAACACCCACCACCACGAGCACCATCGCCTCTATAACTACCACCACCTTGTAGCATCACCACATCACCCACAAAACCACCACTGCACAATGCACTACCGCACTCACATCACACCGCCTGCACAACCACCGCCATCACCACCCACGAACCACCTATAGAAAATCACCAATCCAAAAGATCAAAAAATCACTCACAAGTGGACAACCATCCACATATCAAATAACCACTGACCGTGTCGAGCAACACGTAGCAAGTGTCTATTGCTCTCAACACGCAGCAAGACGACACTGTGCGCAATGGTTGAGATAAGTCATTGGAGAGCGAGGGTGCGTGACAATGGAGAAGAGACTTTTGCCAGAGAAGAGATCGTGACCCGAATAAAATGAGAGGAGAGAATAGAGAATAGAGAGAAAATATAGGAAAATAATATATGGTTAGGGTGTGAAGTTGGCCGTGGTAGAGGTGGTGGGGGTGAGAACGTAGATTAATTTATTTAATTTTATAATATTATGATTAATGTTGAAAAATTATATTATCATCTCATGTGTATAATAAAATTTAAAACTTAAATTTTAAAGTTGAAATTAAAAAAAATTTGGTTGGGTGTTCTTAATTTTTTGGACAAAATACAGAATATTTTGCCCATCTGTACCTGGCCAGTTCAATTACTTGCGCACTTTGCCAGCTAATTATCTACAATCAACGTTCCCATACCGGAATTACACCGAAATTTAAGAATTTCAACCTCTTTCACACACATACACACAGTGCTTTCTCAACTCAATCGTATGAACAAATTACTCTCATGAACCTAGGCTTTGAATCCACAATCTCAAATTCATTTACATACAGTTCATTTACAGTGTTGTACATGTGTGTTCACTACTAAATTCACTGTGATGCATTGATTTCATATACAGACACATATTGATGCATGATGTCGTTGAATTATAGTCCATCCAGAAGCCAGGCGAGCTCGAGAATGCCGTTGGGCGGAGGCAGCGTATCGAGGCTGAGATCCTCGTCTATGAGGAAGCCCCCAGAGCCACTGCGCCGAGCAGTTGCCGATTGTTTGTCGGCTGCGGCTTCGTCCCAACAGGCCACGCTGTCCACTGAAGCTTCAAGGATTTTACGGGTTTGAATTCTCGCTATTCTTTTACTCAGTTTTGCGCTTTTATTCAGATCTCGTGCCTCTTTTGCAGTATTAGAATCTAGGGTCCTGTTTAACTGTTCTTGTATACTTTTAATAAGAATAATGCCATGTAGCCCAAAATGATAAGTTCAAATTAAATGTGGTGCTAGGGGACCACATTTAATTAAATCTACCGTTTAGTGGCACATAGACTGCTGTTAAAATCTCCAGTTGGGCTACATACCATTACTCTTTAATTAAAGACGTTGGTGGGGTTTGCAATTCGGGAATGTGGATTGTTGAGTTATCGTGATTTTTCTGCAAAAGTATGCTCATTTTGATACAAAAGCGGTTTTTAACAGATGGATTGAGTGGGAATTAAAATTTTGTACTTTTATTTTCTGAAAGGTATTCTGTATTTGGGGATTTCAAGTCAATCAAGATATCGTATTGAATCTCAAATGTGGTTAGCACTTATTACATAAGCTTTTGTTTCTTGCACTTGATGCCATTCGTGGGGCTGAGTATTCTATTCATACTTGGGCAACTCCCATCTCCAACCAAAAGGAGAACCGAGACAATGGGATGGTTTTTTAAGTTTGAAACTATAGTAAATTGGAGTGCTTTCCCACCTCTACAACAGGACTATGCCCCAAAGTTTAACTAATAATTTTAGAGATGGAGGTGTTTACTCAAAGTAATTAAGCGAGATCAATTTGGTGCTCATCAACTTGTCATGAATTTTTTTTTTTTTCCCTCTTGACTCCACATGCAGTGGACATCTTTTTTTGATGGAAAAAATGGTAACTGTATTCTCCATACATTTGAAGTTGATTTAAAAGTTGATTATCACTATTATGGAAAAATGTCTTTCCCCTTGTCCAATTTAAATGGAGTCCTAACACTTCATTGGGATTGAATTCTTCAATTCTAATCCAATTGATAGATGTCCTATCAATTTTATGACAAGTTGATGCTTATAATTCGAAAGATCAGCACTCTATTCTCTCTCTCTCTCTCTCCCTCACACACACAGAGATGGAGAGAGAGAGAGAGAGGTTACCACGTTGGATGATATACATTGCTTTCTTGATGGCAGGATTATCTGGTAATGCAGTCAACAATCGACTTGGCATATAGTGTCATCCTAGATCACACTCTTGCAGAAAGGGAACGAAGGTACGCGTAGCGCATGCCTCTAACAAGCCATTATTATATAACACCATTTTTTTAGACGGTGACTGACCAGTATCTTCTCTTTTACTACATGATTTCTTATTTATTTACCATTCTTTTGCTGACTTTTCCAATTAAGCCTTATTTGATTTTACTGGTCCCTATAATGTTAACTCGGGAAAATAATTCCAAAAGAGGTGCTAAGTTTCTTGCCTAGTGCCAACTCATGCATATGGCTTTTTTGAGCTCTTAACTACCAAAAGTTTACATTGCATCTTGGTTAATTTTGATGAAAAGAAGTATGGACGGTTTTGCTGAGATATACTTTTGTGACACAAACAGTAAAGCTCATTTTATTCACAATTGCACTGCAGTTTTGAGAGACATTGTAGAATTCTTTCCGGCTATATATGAAATTCAACTACATTCACTCATATGATGATTATGAAGCAGTACATTAGACCATGAAAAGTACTCTTCTTTGCTGCAAATATAATTTCCCTTCATTGTCAGATTTTGTGCTATAGTAATGTTAGTCTAATATTAAAAAAATTATTAGAAGTAAGTTTTAAAATTAAATCATTTTTTATTGGTTAAAGTATGAACTAAGTTACTTATTTCGATAGCAAATCAAGAGTTACATTCATAATAAGTAACTTGTTTTACTTAAAAGTTATCCAAAAATGTTGAGAAATTATAGTAACTTTTTCCTTTTCTTATTAAAATTAGCTAAACACACTCTATATGAGTAATAGATTGCACTAATATCTAAATACTCTTTTTCGCCTTGGATTAAGGTTTGTTTGGTCAGTTCTTTTTGAGTTTTTAAGCAATATCTCTTGAATACTTTTGTACATGGTATTCTGAACTTTAAATTTCTCTTTGTTTGAACCAGTCCAGCGGTAGTAGCGAGGTGTGTGGCACTTTTGAAACGATATCTTTTAAGGTGAGTTTGTCCTATGTTTAAGATTATTACCTTCATTTAACATCTTGTGTATACCAACAGAGTACATGTGATATTGAAACAGTGCTTACCTTCTTATGATTTATAGTATGCTCATTTATACCAGTATCATCTGGTTAATGCGGTACATGACACAAATTCAAAAGTACAATTGAAAATTTTAATATATGTAGAAATTAAATTTCTGTGATGCATGGACCTGGACACAGTGATGCAGACATGAACAACATAATAATTCTAGAAAGAACGACAGTTTGGACATGGTGATTTAGAAATGAAACACACCAATCTGTAAAAAAGGACAGTTGAGACACAACAATTGACACACAGATATATGTATGTTTTATGTGTATGTTAGAAACAAAATGCGAAACATAAAACGTTAGAAACAAAATGCGAAACATAAAACGTCACTTTAATATATTTCTAATTTTATTTCCTTTAACAGTGCAAGTTCTACTTCTCTGTTTTCCCTTCGTGTTCAACACTCAAAGCTTTTATGGTATCTCATAAATACCCTACAGAGTTCCAAAAGGATTGGGTAGTTCCTTGTACCAGGTCCAACACCAATGTCCTCATCCCTATTATTATTATTGGACATGGCAAGCCATGTCTGGACACGTCGCCTGTGATCAAGGCTGTGTCAACACGACAGACGTGTTTGGTATTGTACGTGCTCATTTTCAAGAATTTCGGCGCTTTATATATAAAACAACTAGTCATGACCCACTCTATGCACATGCTTAATTTTTTAAGAATTAATTTTAAAACGTTTTATATTTCTTATTTGGGAAGTATGGTTGTTAGTAAATAATAATTTAAATCACATTGCATTGCTACCCTTTAAAGAAACATTAATTAAATTTTCTAATTAAGTGAACTGCTCCTTGATTTTTATCGTAAATGTACGATTTTGATTAACAAGTAATAAAGTGAACTTAAAAGTCCGGATTATCATTTTAATGAGGACTATGCATCTAGATATTGATTAAAGTATTTCTAAAAGCTTCCACATTGGTCCTCGAAACCTCCATAATAACCCAAAATTGGTTCTTCTCAAGTTTGTGCAATTTAAATCACAAACTTTCCATGAACTTGTGACTTTCCTTCGAATGTTCTCTTAATGCTTCTTATCAATCCTATACAATCCGGTTAGCCTTCAATCTCTACTCCAATTTAGCTCAAAAATCCTTCTTTTTTGCTCCAAATACTTCAAAGTCCAGGTTTTAACCACAATAACAATATTTACACTAAATTATGTATAAATCCAATCAAATTTACAAATATAATTCAAGTTTCTATGCACAAATAAGAGTGTAAAACACACGTATGATGAACTTTTTTTTATTTTTAGGTTTAAATTGTTCTATTGCAGTTTTCTTGAGTCTATTCAAAAATTATAATTAGATAAAAGGTGATAGCCTGTCTCATGGGTAGGGGACAGAGAGAATAGTGAGGGATAAGATAGAAGTTGAGAAAATCGGGATGTGAAGAAAGTGGAAACTACCATATATATGCCTATTAAAACATGCCATAACAAACATACTGAAGAAATAAAATCACTTACTCGAAGTGCTTCGACCAGGATATATAGTAATTAAAAATTCTGATACAAAAAAGCAAGTGTTATGGTGACCTACAGTAGATGCTAGAATTGGTTTTTTTTTTTTTTT